CAATAATGCTCCTCATAGAAACCGTGAACCGATATTTTCACGTCTGTGCTGACAGCGACAAAAACAAATTAAGAGATAAGATAATCCTTTATTAGATCATTCTTAATAAAAGTCCCAGTGCTACAGCAGCAAAGAGACAGCAAGGCACTCATAAACTCTATCCTTCACATAAACACAATTCACAAAAATTAAAAATATAAACAACTACAAATAAATAAGCAAAAAATATTTACACTGTAAGGATATTTCACCCGAATTGCACTTAGAGTATTGATTATACAGGGTGATTCAAAAAGATTAATCCGATTTCAAAGCGCCATATTTTTAGAACCGTGAGGCGTCTAGGAACCAATCACAATCCAACTGAAAGAGGAGGTCAGAGTTTCTGACTGTCAGTGGAAGATGGCTCCCTTCAGTCTGAGAGGAGATGAGACCCCTGAGCAGAAAGCGTTCTGCGTTCTCCACTTCAATAAGAGTGAATCCGTCATATTTTTATTATTACTACTCGTTAGCTATATTAGCCTCAAAGCTCTAGTGTAAAGCTAAAGAAGCGAACTTCAGACACCAAACATGTCTTGGCTGATCCACTACATTTGGGGTGAGGAGGGGAAACTGGGTAAATTCGGTATTCGGTCGCTTAATTTTTTTTCTTTGTCTCTACATGTCGCTGTTATTGGAACAAAACCTCGTATCTCCAAAATGGTAACTTTACAGGAGAAGGAAAAAACATACTTGACTTTTAATGTAAGTCAATGGAACCAGACTTTCTTACAAGTCATTTTGGGTCGTTTCTTTTGGTCCATTCATCATGAAATTTATACACAATGTAAAGAGCAACAGGCATTTTCAAATTATGTCAAAAACAGAAAAACGGCAAAATTGGAGATACAAGGTTTTGTCCAGACAGCAGTGAAATGCACTTCTCCTTATATATTTTCCATACTTACATTTTAGCCTGCTCTCTTCCTCCTAAACACAGACAGACAAACAGACAGACAGACACTGGAGAAATAAGTTCCACTGTTTCCTCAGTGACCTCCCTCACCCACACACACACACTCTGACTCATTTTACTGCTCTGATAACTGCATGTGTGTGTTGGGGGGGAGTCTAATTCTGTATGTGTGTATGCGTGTGCATGTGTGTGTGTGTGTGTGTGTGTGTGTGTGTGTGTGATTCTCCCTCTGGGGTTGAACTAAACAGATGAGCCACACGAGAGAGACTGTACGCCTGTTTTGGTATGAAAGGTTTTCTTTCCAGTTTGAAACTGATGAAGCCCGGGGGGGTGGGGGTGGGGGTGGGGGGATATTACTCTAAATATAATCCCTCTCCCTCTCTCTATCTCTATCTCTCTCTGGATGAATATATAAATAGCATTTAATGAATACTAAATGCAGGGAACTTAGCAATCAGTTAGTACTGTTACATGTACGTCAGAATTCATTCGCTCCACACACAAAGACTGTGGTTTTAAATTGTCATTTTGCTGCCCAACTATGCCCAGTCTAGCAGCAGAGCGTTGACGGCCAAGCTGGTTAAGTGCCGTTCCCAAGAGCACTACCAGAAATGGCCAGACAGTCCTGGGATTTTAACCCGTGACCACCACTCCTATCGCTAGGCTAACAGTCAAAAGATATTCTTAAAGACTCCCACTAATGAGAACAAGAGCTCTAAAGACCGGCACTACGAAGAATGAGCTATCTTAAGACTGGCACTACCAAGAGTTAAATCTCCAAGACTAAGAGCTCTATGAGCTGGCACTACCACGACTAAGAGCCCTAAAGACTGGCATTACCAAGAGTAAGAGCCCTAAAGACCGGAATTACCAAGAGTAAGAGCCCTAAAGACCGGTATTACCAAGAGTAAGAGCCCTAAAGACCGGAATTACCAAGAGTAAGAGCCCTAAAGACTGGCACTACCAAGAGTTAAAGCTCTAAACACTGGCATTACCAAGAGTTAGACCACTGAAGACGGACACTACCAAGAGTAAGAGTCCTAAAGACTTGCATTACCAGAAGTAAGAGCTTCACTGAATGGAAATACTGAAAGCAAGAGCCCTAAACACTGGCATTATCAAGAGTAAGAGCCCTAAAGACCGGAATTACCAAGAGTAAGAGCCCTAAAGACCAGCATTACCAAGAGTAAGAGCCCTAAAAACTGGAATTACCAAGTAAAAGAGCCCTAAAGACTGGAATTACCAAGAGTAGAAGCCTTAAAGACTGGAATTACCAAGAGTAAGAGTCCTAAAGACTGGAATTACCAAGAGTAAGAGCTCTAAAGACTGGAATTACCAAGAGTAAGAGCTCTAAAGACTGGAATTACCAAGAGTAAGAGCCCTAAAGACTGGCACTACCAAGAGTTAAAGTTCTAAACACAGGCATTACCGATAATAAAAGCTTTAAACACTGGCACTACTAAGAGTAAGAGCCCTAAAGACCCGAATTACCAAAAGTAACAGCCCTAAAACTGGCATTATCAAGAGTAAAAGCCCTAAATACTGGAATTACCAAGTAAAAGAGCCCTTAGGACTGGAACTACCAAGAGTAAGAGCTCTGCAGACTGGCACTACCAAAAGAGCTATAAGTATAATACACTTTCTCCACATATAGGAACGCGGGGGTTCAGGGAGGAATCAGAAATACTGCTCTAAAATGACAATAAGAGTCACTGTGCGAGACTCCAGACATCACCTTCTCCTACAGTACTGAAAACAGATTAAAGGCATTTGTTAAACACCTAAGAATAAAGGATGTTTTCTGCACTCAGTTTTTCTTCAATAAAAGAGACTTCAAATCTTTAAAGTATCACTATAGAATCGCATCTTGACAGTATCGTGATAATAGCGTATCGTAAAGCCCGGTTTACTGTACATTATGTGTTCAGAGAATGATATTGTCTATTGTACACTGTGGTATTTCTGAGCCCACCTGCAGCGAGAGACATTCAGATTCTCCCGCAGATATCATAATCTGTTTGTTCAGCTCAGGTTACGGCCATGCGCATTTCAAAGAGAGCAAATGTCTCTCTCTCTCTCTCTCGCTCTCTCTCTCTCTCTCTCAGATAGGTCTGGCAATCTTGATATCGCAGGCTGGAGAGTAAACAGAAGAATTTACACAGACTCAAACTGCCGCGTTAAACGCAAACACAGCCAGTAACCACAGCAAACATAGACCATTCAGCGGCCGCTGACTGCAGACTCACCAAGGCAGAACACGGCTGAAGTCCCGTCATCCCGCTGCAGTCAACGTCATGCCAACATTAGGAACACTGCACTTTTAAAGATGGTTCTTCAAGCGTTCTTTAGCAAATACAATAGCCATGAGTTCTATATAGAACAGTTTGCATGCTTAAAGTGTTCTTTGCATGGTGAAATCGATCTTCAGATTGAGAGAACATGGTTCTATATAGCACCAAAAAGCATTCTTCTATTGTGTAGGGCCCATGTGTCAAACACGAGGCCCGCAGGCCCAGTCAGGCCTATGATACAGTTCTATTCGGCCCGCGAAATGATGTTAATTTTCTATTCTTGGTGGTCCATCTCAGCCCTGAGATGAACTACAGTCCCCAGCATGCACTGCAACATTATGTTCACATTACCAGGTTGAAGTGGCACAAATCTGATTTGTTGCCCTAATTTGACTCAGATCTGATGTTTTCAGGGCTGTGTGACACGCAAATCTGATCTCTTCAAATCCGACCTGAGTCACTAGATCGGATACATATCCGATTCGTGGCCATGCGACCTTAATGTGATGCTCAGATCGGAATTCATGTGCTTTTTTCTCCACTGCGCTGCGCCATCATTCAGTGTTACCATGGCAGCAGCGCCGAACAGAAGTTAAAGCCTGTAAACGGTGGAAAAGCAGCTCATCTCACCTTTTTCTCCTTCGTCTCGCTCTAATAATGAAGCTGAGAGCTGATCAGAGTTAATTATCTTCTCAGCGAAGCTCGTTCTGCTCGTTAGTTTGTTGCTGATGATGCACGTGAGTCATTCACGGCCGTCTTTGAGGAGAGGTGTGAATAGTTTTTCACAGCAGGGGGTTCTCACACCTCCCCTTTCGCCCCTCTTTGCTCACTAACAGCTCGACAACATTTCACACACAGAGAGACGACAGAGTCCTAGTTCATCTGATAACAGTTACGTGGAACGTATTTTGTTTGATTATATTGATTAATAAGGTTGAGTTCTGTTCTGCAGTTGGCCACTAGGGGCACTGCAGAACGAAGATTAGCTTTGTTCTCTTATAAAATCTATTTTTTTCAGGCAATTTTTTTTTCTCATGGAAAACAGAGTAGTGTTCCCATAATCACTAAATGTTCATGTTCACACTTATACAGTCACATGCAAAAGTCTGTGCACCCCTGGTCAATTTCATGTTGTGATGATTTTGTTCAAGTGAAAACAAGTTAACACGTCCTCTATAGTATTCTATGGCAAATTTTAATGCACAGCCTTTTTTTTTGGGCTGGTTTTAACATTGGAAAAAAATTTAAAGCATAAAATGTAGCCTGTGCAAAAGTTTTGGCACATTCTATGTCTTATTTTATTGAAATATGTCAAACTACAATGTGCAGAAAACACCATATTTAAATTTCTTCCTTGTAATTATACAACTGAAATAAGATATAATGCTTCCTGACTGTAATGTTTGCTAAACTTAGCTGAAAAATGCCACTTTAACTCCTTAACTGGCCAGTTTTATTACACACCTCTATAATCTTAGAATAGCTCAGCCAGTTTGCATTGAAGACCCTGTAGTTACTGAGTAATAAGCCTTAGTATGCGATTTTAAGGGGTTAAATCTGCTCTCTGTAGAAGATGTGAACTTAATTTCACTTAGAAAATCCAAAAAGAACAGTTAACTGTTCAAACTTTGACTGCTGAAGTCTTTCATCGCCACGACAACAACCGGTCACCCTATCAACAGCCACTCGGCACTAACGCACGCTCGCGCGCACTCTGTAAACATTAAATAATGACCTCAGCTGAAACTCCTCACCCAGTTACAACACAGCAAACTGAGGCACAACGGCACACAGGGCGTCTGCGCTCGGGCCGGTCAGACACGGTCCGGTTTATATACTCAACAGCTCCTCACAGCACACACACTCAGGGCTGAAGATTTCCTCTGCAGCCCTGATCCACAGCAACCTCAGGAAATGAGTTCTTTCCTGTCAGAGGAACAGAGAGAGAGAGAGAGAGAGAGAGAGAGAGAGAGAGGGAGAGAGAGAAATGAGCCATAAAGATAGAGGGGAGGAAACCGGGGTGAATGAGAGCAGACCACAGAGAGGAAAAGAGAGAGAGAGAAAGGGGGGGGGGTGAAGGAGATAACCAGCGAGAGGGAGAGAGAACAAAATAAAAAGACTCTTGTTGTCCTCCTGCGTTACATACGGCTGTAACGATACATTCCATACAACAGTCAATACAATGCATTTTTCCGATATAGTGGATTGTGCCAGGATGTGTGTCTTGTGTTGCAGGTTAAAAGGCCCAAATCATGGAAAATCAAACTTTCCTCGCTTTTTTCACAATAAAGGAGTTTCAAGTAATCTGTAAACACTGTTAACCTTTTCTAGATCACTGAACTGCGCCGCTGAGTGCCGCCTGCAGCCGCTCCTACGTCAATGAGTACAGGTTACTGCGGGCGCACAAAGCCAGTGTGTTGTTGGGCGTGTGCCACCTGCATGAAGCATCATGAACATGTTCAGTTTCGCCAGCCTCGCTGCGCAGTGTTCGCACGTTATTTTACTACAAGGTTTTCCAATTTGACTCTTTTGTTTCGCTCTGTTGGACGAGAGACACAGCTCTGTGTGGGACAAAGCAGGTTTGTCAGATTTGCAGTGCAGGTAGAAATTATACAGTGGCGAGGAATATAGCAGTATATTTACAAAGGACTACGCTCTAAATATGCTACTATTTTACAACCCCATTTCCAAAAAAGTTGGAAGAATGTAAATAAAAATAGGATGCAATGATATGCAAATCAAGTGAACCGTATTTTTAAAGGAAAATACTACAAAGATAACATATCAAATGTTGAAACTGAGAAATTTGATTGTTTTTTGAAAAATATACGACCATTTTGAATTTGATGCCAACAACACACTCCAAAAAAGTTGGGACGGGGGCCTGTTTACCACTGAGTTTCATCACCTCTTCTTTTAACAGCACTCTGTAAGTGTTTGGGAACTGAGGAGACACTGCTGTAGTTTTGAAAGTGAAATGTTTCCCTGTTCTTGTTTGATACAGGATTTCCGCTGCTCATCAGTTCAGGGTCTCCTTTGTTGTATTTTTCATTTTATAATGCGGCAAATGTTTTCAGTGGTGACAGCAGGCAGGCCAATTTAGCACCCGGACTCTTTTAATACAGAGCAATGCTGCTGTAATACATGCAGAATGTATGTTTGACATAGGCTTGCTGAAATAATTAAGGCCTTCCCTGAAAAAGACGTCATCTGGATGGCAGCATATGTCGCCAAAACATGTATATATCGTTCAGCAATAATGGTGCCTTCGCAGATGAGCATCTCATCCATGCCATGTGCACTAATGCACCTCTATACCATCATGAATACTGGCTTTTGAACTGTGCACTGATAACAAGCCGGATGGTCCCTCTCCTCTTTAGCCCGGAGGACACAACGTCCATGATTTCCAAAAAGGAAATCTCAAATGTTGATTCGTCGGATCACAGGACACTTTTCCACTTCCCCTCAGTCCATTTTAAATGAGCTCAGGCCCAGAGAAGGTGGCAGCATTTCTGGATCCTGTTTATATGTGGTTTCTTCTGTGAGTTTTAACTTGCATTATGTACCGTAGATGATGAAAAGCAAAAGTTAATATTTTATTTTCTTTGCTATATTTTTGCTATGTCATATGTATATTTACTTTTGTCAGTCTCTTCTTTTTTGTATAATGCTCGGCTGTGAGGGTCACCTTCAGAGTATTCCAACTTTAAATAAAGGTTGACTAAGTTTTTTTTTTCATGAACTGCTTTTGTTAGCCACTTAGCTACTATCTTCGTAACTTTGTGCACTGCTTAGTAAATCTGGCCCTCAGTGTTCAGTGTTCATTTCTGTCTTTGTTGTGAGAGAATAGGTTTCCACTCTGCTGCAGCTGTGCTGGAATATTATGTAAATCTTTATTTTTACATGTTCGTGATGTTTCCACCATCACACCCAATATCAGCATTTGCCTCACATATACATACACTTTAAATACGCTTTAAATGACGGCTTTCTGTTTGTTTCCAGATGATTTTACATCCACACCAATCTGAACCTGACCAACTCATGACTTTCATTTATGTCTAAAGTCAGCAGACACCTGCTTCACCGGCGTTTCCTCTGAAATCGGCAGCCGTATTACAGAAACGTTCTGTCTTTGGCCGTTAGTTAAGATCTGACCAGGTCAAGATATGATGTTTTACAAATTTGCATTACAGAAGCAAATCTAACATATCTTACAGCATCTCATATCTCAACTTTCTAAATCATAAACTACTCGACTCAGCTCTACAATCAACTGTTATGTTACCAAGTAACTGACGATAAACACGGCCCTGAAACACAAACACTATCAAAATAATATAATAAAATGTAAGTGAGTTACAGCAGACAGAGACGGACGGACAGACGGACGGATGGATGGATAGGAAGATAGATAGATAGGTAGATAGATAGACAGACAAACAGACACACAGACAGATAGATGGACAGACGGACAGACAGACAGATAGATAGATACACACTCAAACAGACAGTTAGACAGACACACGGATGGACAGATAGACAGACAGACAGACAGATAGATAGATAGATAGATAGATAGATAGATAGATAGATAGATAGACAGACACACAAATAGTTGGACAGACACATAGACAGACAGACAGACAGACAGATGGACAGACAGACAGACAGACAGCTAGCCAGATAGATAGACAGATAGACACACACACAGACAGACAAATAGCTAGACAGACAGACAGATAGACAGACAGACAGCTAGCTAGCCAGATAGATAGATAGATAGATAGGTAGATAGATAGACACACACACAGACAGACAGACAGTTAGACAGACAAACAGACAAACAGACAGACAGACAGACAGATAGCCAGATAGCCAGCCAGCCAGACAGACAGACAGACAAAATAGATAGATTCTGCATGTTTTGGTGCATAATTACTTTTTATTGTTGAATTTAACACATTGAAAAAAATTAAACATAAAATTATATTTTTTTCCCAATACAAAAAACTCAGTAAATAAACAGAAGTTCCATATTTGAGTGAGTTCTCTGTAACAGGTTGTGTTCCCAGGTCATTTGTCTGGGGGTGTTCAAACTTTTGCCCACGACTGCACACACACCTCAGCCCTCAGTAGTTCAGCAGAGCAAACGAGAGCAGCTGTAGTTTAATGATTCTGACAAAAGTCATTAATATTCATCCATCAGATAAACACAGACCACACTGAACACCAGCGATGACAGCATAACTCATCTCTCAGCACAGCAGCGGCCGTGAGAGAGAGAGAGAGAGAGAGAGAGAGAGAGAGAGAGAGAGAGAGACAGAGAGAGAGAGAGAGCAAAAGTCTTACTGTATAAAAATAGCAGTCTCAGTGTCAGCTGCACTGTTCCTGCACACTCACATAAACATGCTTTACGTCATTCTGAGCTCATTCTCAGGTGAGCTAATCTTACCTGCGGGTTTAATATGCAACAACAAAACTATGCAAAATGTTTTTCCTGCTCAAACACGCTAATTCAACTCATACGGTCTTCAGGGATGCAGCGATATGAGAATTCTGATGCCGATATCTTGCATGTTTTAGGTATATACAGTTTGTGGCCAAAAGTATGTGGACACCTGACCATCACACCTAGACGAGCTCATTGGACGTCTCATTCCAAAACCATGGATAGTAATATGGAGTTGGTCCCCCTTTTCGGCTATAACAGCCTCCACTGTTCTGGGAGGCTTTCTACTAGATTTTGGAGAGAGTCTGTGGGAATTTGTGCCCATTCAGTCTCAAGACCATTTGTGAGGTCAGACTGATGTTGGACGAGAGGGTCTGGCTCACAATCTCCGTTCTAGTTGATCCCAAAGGTGTTCAGTGGGGTTGAGATCAGGGCTCTGTGAGGGCCACTGGAGTTCCTCCACACCAAACTGGTCACTCCATGTCTTTATGGAGCTGCTTTGTGCACAGGGGCTCAGTCGTGCTGGAACAGGAAAGGCTCTTCCCCAAACTGCTGACACAAAGTATATAACTGTCTAACATGTCTTTGTGTGCTGCAGCATTAATATCACCCTTCACTGGAACTGAGGGGCCCAAACCCTGAGAAACAGCCCCAGCTCATTATCCCTCCTCCACCAAACTTTACTGCTGTGTGACCTAAACATTCTGCTCTTCAGGAGTTCAATAAATACATTATCAAATATGAGTTTGAATTATCTGCCAAATCTAAACAAATATTGGCCAATACTTAAAATGATAAATCGAATTTCAAAACATAGCCAATATGCGAGGGGTCTGGACAGATCAGACGCTCGCAGAGTAGGTTGTATAAAAGGTTTGATAAGGGAACAAACCAGAGGTGAAATCCAAAAACAGGCTAGGGTCGTATACAGGCAAACAGATGTACGTAGGTGAGACATAAACATGGTCAAAAGGCAGGCAGAAGGTCAAAACAAGAACGTGGCAAGAAGTCCAGAGGGCGAAAAAGAGAAACCGAAAGCAAACCAGGAGAACAATCCAGAAAAAAAGGCTTGGTAATGAACAGCACACGGATACAATACCTCACAAAACACCTAATATAAAAGCCCAGGGTTTTACTAACACTAATGACACACGACACGAGTAACAGCTGCCAAGAGTCAATAATCAGGCGAGGCTGAATGTCGATAGGTAGACTGTATGGAGTCTGGAGTCAGGTGAGCTCCCAGAGGATTCTGGGAGTTGGAGTTCGCAACAGAGCGAGTGGTGGAGCCAGGGAGAGATGTGACACAGTACAGTCCATATATGGACATAAAGCCGCAAAAACAGCAGGAAGGAAAAAACCTTTACTTTTAATGTAAGTCAATGGAACCAGACTTTTTTCTGAGTCTTTCTGGGCCGTTTCTTTTGGTCCAATCATCATGAAATTTAAAAAC